TTATACAAGCAACAGGAGTTTCTTGAACAATAATATCAATTAGAAGAAAGGAATAAAAATAAAATGTAAAATCACTTGTAATTTTTACAATTTAGAGGAAATTACTCATCACTGTCTACAGTTAAGTGTGTTTTAGACCAGAATTGAACCACTGCCCAACTAAATGTAGTTTAAACAAGTACATACGTAAGCGGGTGGGTGGGTAAGTCGAGGATTTGTAATTGTGCTGCTTCAGCCCATCAGAGCACTGGGGTAGCACTCCACATTTCTCTTAGCTTTCCATTTGGAATTACAAGATGTTTGCCAGGATTTCAAAGAGGCTCTTACATAACAAAAAAATCTCTCAACATGAGGAAAAGGAGGAAGAGGTTTTCCTAACATGTTTATGCTTTTTTATTTTACTGGACAGTCTTCAACAAGGGCCCCAAACAGACTCTTCATTATCTTATTGGCTTAAACTGGATAATGTACTTACTTCTAAATCAGTCACCAGCAAAGGGAGGTGAAATTATCATAATTGGTTTTGATCTGTCATGATCCATCCCTAAGGACTAAGCAGTTTCTAATATTGGAACAAAATTGGAGCTCTTAAAGCAAGGAGAAAAAGGGTATTTGTTGTTGAGTAGACAACCAACAGTCCTGCCGTACACCATTTTATGAACTTTTGTTCTTGGGTAAACATGACAAGAGGTTGATAGTTCACCTGTATTCTATAGTATGTGTTAACCTTTTAGGTTGGTAATAAACAGGGAAATATATATCTACCAATGTGTCATATTGCAGCAGTTCAAAATTGATTTCATTTTTATATTGCTGTTTTGTAGAACAACAATTTTTGAATAGTCTGATTTTTGTAATTCTTATGAATAGCCATTAAACATTTATTTTAGGAATAAACAGCTGGGTAGCAGTATAATATATACTGTGAAAATCAGATACAAATGGCCTTAGAACAAAGTATAAACATCAAAGTAAAAGAATACAATGTCAGCAGCAAGTCGTATTGGGTAAGAAAAGGTACAAATGGCTAAAAGATAAATGGTGAACACCTGTGCTGAATAAATTAAACACCTGTTTCTCAGTTTTTCATTTGATTCCTCTAAAAGGCTGTTACAGGGTATTCATAAGACACATTTACTTTGAGGTGTTTCTTTGTTATTACTATTAATTGGTAAGCAATACTAGATGATATCAGAATTTATACCTCCAAACTCTCAGAGTAATATGTGAATTTTGGCAATTAGTGAAAAATGCACTTACAAAAAGTAGTGTTAAGCAGTTTTTATTAAGAGAAATTATCTCAAAAATATTGTTATATTATAAATGACCTTTGGAATTAAAGTTAGCAATGTAAATGACACTAAATTTAATTTGTGAAATCAATTTTGATTGTGAACATTTGTATAAGAACTAATGATGCAGATTGTTTTCCTTTATCAACAGTCTGCAGCTTATGATGGTTTGACTTAATGATTTTTCAACTTTATAATGGTTTTATTGGGTTATTAAATGCATTTTGTCTTACTAAATTGGGTTTATCAGGATGTAACCCCATCATAAGTTGAGGAGCACCTGTATATGTTTTAAAATCAACGTAATATCTTAGAACTCCAAGGTTCGTTTGAAGGCTTCTAATGCAGCTACATTATTTTGTAACTGGTAAATGTGTTTTTATAGTTTTCAAACACTTTTAAATTAATAGAATTGAACTATTACTGCATTCTGAGATTTTCTCTGAAAGGTTGAATATCTCTTTAAGAAAATGTCTTTTACCACAGTATAAAGTTTTACATTTGGGGGAAGATAGCCCTTTTAGATGAACAGAATTTTGCTTTCTGAGGATGTACGTGGAGTTTTAGGAGCTTTTGGGTATCTTTATATTTTCTCATTAGGTATTAACTTCAACCTTGGCAGAACTCCAAAAATACTGTGGTTATATTTAATGCAAAGTGAGGACAGTGTCATGTTTTTATTGCTTGTGTTTTCTGTAGTGATAGGAATCTCACCAAATTATAATGTTCAGAACAGTAAAACAATAGTTTATTGATATAGAAAAAATTTCTGAAGAATTTCTTCTCTTCGCTTATACCTTTAATTAAGTATTTTGACTTATATCTTCCAGGTTGTTCAGTACTGGTTAATGTGTTTCATTCACTCTATAAGGCTCCCCATCACAGAATGTAATAGAGAATCCCTGACTAGATCATTTGCTATGCTCAATTTTCACAGTGTCATCATCATAGTCTGTAATAAGAGAAGTTGCCATATTCTGTCTTATCTGTAAAGTGTAATTAATTATCCTGTCATTTCTTATAATTAAAGGCATGAAACTTTTTATTTAAGAGTTAGGTGTAGAACTTTTACTGAAAAAAAAAAAAAAATTAGGCATGGAACTTTTGCTGAAAATTATCCCCTTAGATCCCTCCTGGAACACACTTTAGTTTTGTTGGTTTTCAAAATAATAAAAGTGAATACAGAGTGTGAACAATTCTGTAGAAAATATACAAATCACCTTTCATGTTATTGCACTTCGTTCTTAATGTTGTTAATGGCAATGCTATCATATGCTTATATGACCAATGAGATTTCATCATGTGAATGCAGAAAACCTAGGTATACAGGTTTTGAGTTGACTATTGAGCTATGGGCAGTTTAACAATATCTTATTTGATTAGTATCTTTTTTTTTTTTTTTTTTAGGACGGAGTTTTGCTCTTGTTGCCCAGGCTGGAGTGCAATGGGACGATCTTGGCTCTCTGCAACCTCCACTTCCCGGGTTCAAGCAATTCTCTGGCCTCAGCCTCCCAAGTAGCTGAGATTACAGGTGCCCACCACCACGCCTGACTAATTTTTGTATTTTGGTAGAGACGGGGTTTCACCATGTTGGTCAGGCTGGTCTTGAACTCTTGACCTCAAGTGATCCACCCACCTCGGCCTACCACAGTGCTGGGATTACAGGTGTGAGCCACCGTGCCCGGCCTGATTAGTATCTTATATTTGATTAACCTTTTATAGTTTATAAACTACTTTTCATATATGTTAACTTTCTTATCTCACAACAGTTTCATAAAAGGTAGGGCAGGTGGACTGATCCCCATTTTATAGGTGGTGAATCAGACAGATTAAATGACTTGCAAGTATTTCCTAGGTGATGAGTCTGGGATAGAACATGGATGTTTTCCTCACTTTAGTTTCCTAGATCTCAAAAATATTCATGTAACATTAATGATATCAATTTGTTTTTTTGTTAGATTTTATTAGAATTACTATAACAGTAAATGTGGCATTTTATTTCTTGACATTTGAGTGTTATTCTTTCATTGCCCCTCTTTGTTTTTGTAGTGTTTATTGTGTTATTTTTAATAAGACAATTATTTTTTTCACTTAACTCAGATTTTCTAATTTGCAATACAATGTTTTTTTCTTGGCCTTATTTTTTGTGTTTTTTGCAAGAAGTTTGTTTCACATTTGAAACAAAAATAGCCTTTGCATGTATAAACCATTATTCATCAAGCATTTATCAGATACCATATCTATAGAGCAGTGCAGTAGGTGTTGTGTGGGGCACAGAAGGAACGGTGCTAAGGTATTCCCTCCAGGAATTACAGTCTGATTGGGAAGATAAAGGATATACTGGAAAACCAAAAGATTATTAAAAAGGAATGGATAAATACATGCTAGGTAAACTGCATGTGTGTATTATGGGAGCATGGTATAATAGAGTGATGAGTGTAATTGGGCTAAGGAAGACTAATTCAAAGTGAAATTTAAACTTTTTCTTAAAGTAGTTTGTTAAAGTATGTGATTATGTTTGAGAATGGAAGAATTGTGATATTATGCAGATTGGGAAGAAAAGGACAGAAGAGACAAATGATATGAACCAAACTATCATGATTTGACAATTAGAATTGATAAATTTGGAGTTAGAGATGCCATGTTGGAAAGTAGGTGGAGATGAAGCCAGAAGATTAGTAAATAAGGAAGGCGGTTTGATTTAGAGACAGGAAGAGGAAGATTTTTTTGTGGGGTAAGTTTTAGATTTATTATAAGGAAGAGCTATTGTTAGTTCTTGACCAGTCAACTAGCAGAATTTTAGTTGCCAAGACCAATCACATACAAGGCATTGTGCCAGATATTGAGCAGTGTGGCAACTCAGTGAAAATAGTGGGCTCTGTGGAGGATAAAATATCATACAGAAATTGCTAAAGCAGACAGACTGAATGGGAGCCTGTTCTATAAATCAAGACAACGGTGGACTGAGAATGTTAACTCCAATAATAAATTTGGAAATGGGACTTCGACTAGAGTAATAGACATCAGTGCTAAAAAAGGCAGGAAATTATACAGAAAGGTCCTATTAGACACCACATTGTGATAGGCCAACTTAATCTTTTCAAGGCAGATTTTTTTTTCCCTTTATTGAAGGTCTTCGGTCATATCACCAAGTCAGGAATTCCTCAATAATAACAATGTTGATAACTACCACTGTTGAGCATTTACTATGTCCCAAGCACTGTGTCAGGCTCTTTGCATGCAGTACTTAATTTAATCTTCAGAACAACCTTGTGAGGTGGGTGGTATTATCTCTGTTTCATAGATGGGTAATTTAGGTGGTCTCAGAGAGGATAAATAACTAGTCTAAGTTCACAGAGCTTACTAGTCATATGGTCAGGATTTGAACCAAGATCTGTTATTCTGAAGACTATGTTCTTCATCACTGTGGTAATTTGCCTCCAAAATACAACTCCCCTGTCTTAAATTCTCAAAAATGTGCATGTGACGTGAAATCTTTATGTTTTTCAAATCTTAATTTTGTTTCTTATTTTACTGAAACATGAACAGATGAATGTTTAATGTCTGAGTCACATAAGCAAAACGTACACTGAACTTGATAAAAGGGGTAAAGGAATAAAAGTTGCTGTGAAAAGTTAAAGCAATATAAAAATGTAGCAGGGTAGAATTAACAAAAGCCTGGTGTTTATTATTATAATTTCTTATTAGTCAGGATTTGCATGAAGATGTAGAAGAGGCTGGTGCACTGCAGAAAAATCATGCTCTTGTGACATCTGCAAACTCCACAGAAGCTGCAGATTCTTCCTTCCTACCTATGGAGGATGAGTCATTAAGCACTATGAACTGTGAAATGCTCACAGAACAAACTCCAAGCAGTGATCCAGAGAATGTGCTAGAAGTAAATGGTGCTGAAGTGACAGGGGAAAAAGAAAACCATTGTGATGATAAAACTTGTGTGCCATCAACTTCAGCAGAAGACGTGAGTGAAAATGTGCCTATAGCAGAAGATACCACAGAACAACCAAAGAAAAACAGAATTACTTACTCGCAAATTATTAAAGAAGGCAGGAGATTTAATATTGATTTAGTATCAAAGGTAAGTACTAATTTTACCCATCTTTGCATTAAAAACAGTATCTGGACCCATAAACCCAGTTTTTGTAATTCTCTGAGATGCAAAACGTTTGTTTTGTAAAGAGAGAGTAGCCAGACATTTGTAGTTCATTTAAAATATTCCTTAAGTACAAATTAAAAACACATTTAAAGTGATCACATTAAAATGCTTTAATTATGTTTTTAATCTATACCTGAAGAATACTTTTGTACTTGAGCACATACTACAACCTAATATTCTCTGGACACTATGAATTCTATCAAAAGAAAAATTCTAATGAACCTGTTTAGAAATCCATGTTATTTACAGTCCATTTCCATCAATTCTTTTAGCCTTTATATATAGTAACTATTTTCACAACTGTATGATGATGAATACTCAGAATAAACCAATGCATTTTTAAAAACCATGTGTTCACATGGACACAGGGAGGGGAGCATCACACACCGGGGCCTGTGGGGGTTGGAGGTTAGGGAAGGGATAGCATTAGGAGAAATACCTAAGTAGATGATGGGTATGTAGGTGACGGGTTGATGGGTACAGCAAAACACCATGGCATGTGTATACCTATGTAACAAATCTGCACGTTCCGAACATGTATCCCAGAACTTAAAGTATAATTTTAAAAAAAGAGTCTCAAAAAAATCATGTGTTCGGGTTTGAAAGCTTCAGAGGAAAATTTAATAGTGATGGAGGCAGGAAGGCTGGGAAGAAAGCTATTGTCTTCAGTTATGTTCCTGAATATAACTAACTTGAACGTAGTTCACTGTAACTTCACAGGAGGTCCCTCCACCTTAGAAGGGTACAATATTGCATTTGGTTTATAGGAAGCAAGACTATTTTAGTGCAAAAGAATAGAAAATCAGTAAGATAAAGGATTATGGCCTTAAAGGGTTACAGTACAGGACAGGATAAAAGTAGATAAAAACAGAGACTAAATCCTATAAGTTGAGAGCTAACAATAAGGAATTGAAAAGAAGTACAAGAGGATAGTAAGTAACTTGCCACAGAACTAGCACAGAACTAGGCTTTTCAATTTAATGTACTTTCTTCAAGTTCCAAGTAATAGGGGACAGAGAGGGACCAAAACATTTCCCTTGGCAAGTTGTTTCTGCAAATCCTATATCCTCATACTCTTGCTCCCTTTGAACTTGATGCCTGAAAATATAAATATCTTTTTACTACCCATTTTTCTTTCTGTCTGTCATATAGCACTCTGTGTCTGATTTTGCACAGTTGGCTATTGCATTGGTTCTACTTCATACTTCTGTACTATCTCTCCCCCCTTCTCCATCTACTTTGACCCTGTCATGATTTGAAATCTAGCATTTTTTGCACATTACCTTGGCTGTTCATCTGTGGATGGAAGTTTAATCCTAGCTCACTAATAACCTTCCTGGTCCCATGAGCAGTACTCTATGAAATAGGTTAAACAAAACATAAAAACTGAACAAGTCAAATAACAAATGGGCTTTGTTTTACAATTCCATTTTGAAGTAGTTACTTGGAATTTATAATGTTTTACCTAAATAAATGATTATATAAATGTGGTTAAGAATCAAGGCTATTTCTTGAAAGTCTTTAACTTTTGTGTTAGCTGAAATTTAGTATATATCTCGCAAAGGGAAATGGTAGAAAATGGGACTGTTTCAATTGTAGGAATTGGTGTAGAAAATTATTCAGTTGTATAAGAAAATGAATGCTGGTTATGGGAAGAAAAAGATAATTGAATTAGAAGTTGACACATTTGAAGATACTCTGAAGGAGACTTCTGGGTATTTTCATCAGTTTAAATGGTTAGTAATAACCAGTTCTCTTATGGTAAGTAAAAACCAAACATATCTAGAGGCAGTGGGCTAGCCAGTTGGGACTGCGTCCTGCAGAGTTTCATGGGTTCATACATTCTATAAAATAACTAATAATCATTTAATGTACTCATTTTCAAAACCAGAAGTATCTTACTCACATATAACCCTAGTAATACAGGAGATTAATTGTCCGTTTTTAAAATGTAAGTCATTTAATACATATTCAGTGCATACTAGATGGAAAGCAATATATTCCATGTTATTGGGGCAATTGGTCACTTGTTGGAAATTTCATCTGTTCTAATAATTGCAGTTAATAAGCATCTAAGTTTAGGATGATTGCCAAATATCTATCTTAAAGCCCTACCTCTTTTCTTTTTTTTCTTTTTTTAATTTTTTTGAGACCGAGTCTTGCTCTGTTGCCAGGCTGGAGTGCAGTGGCGCAATCTCGGCTCACTGCAACCTCCACCTCCGGGGTTCAAATGATTCTCCTGCCTCAGCCTCCCGAGTAGCTAGGACTACAGGCGCGCACCACTATGTCCGGCTAATTTTTGTATTTTTAGTAGAGACGGAGTTTCACCATGTAGGCTAGGATGGTCTCGATCTCTTGACCTCATGATCCACCCGCCTTGGCCTTCCAAAGTGCTGGGATTACAGGTGTGAGCCACCGCACTCGTCCAAGGACCTCTTTTCTAAAGTCCAACGCAGTATCTCCAAACTACTTGACATTTCTATATGCGTTCAACCTCAAAGACATGGTGATATAATTAACAAATACTGTGCAAATACTGTGGGGTTTTACAGTTGACAGTACACATTCATGTATACAGCCTTTTAAAAAGTAATAGCTCAAGGTAGGTTAAATAAAATATGTATAGTGTCATACTGCTCAGACTAATAGAGAAGATCAGAGATGAAGTTCTTAAAATGAAAGCTCATTTCTAAGTAAGTACATACTCTTAGTAATTATAGAACCAACATGCTAAGTGAAGGAAAAATTGTTAATTATTAAATCTAATTTCCATTATTGTAATCAAATTGCACTGCTCTTTAGCCCCTCATCACGTGGTAGATCACCTAGAGGGTAGTGAAAAAGAGGCTTAGGCTGAGCGTGATGGCTCAGGCCTGTAATCCCAGCACTTTGGGAGGCCAAAGCAGGCAGATCACCTAAGGTCAGGAGTTCGAGACCAGCCTGACCAACATGGTGAAACCCCGTATTCTACTAAAAATACAAAAAATTAGCTAGGCTTGGTGGTGCATGCCTGTAATCCCAGCTACTCGGGAGGCTGAGGCAGTAGAATCACTTGAACCTGGGAGACGGAATTTGTAGTGAGCTGAGATTGAGCCACTGTATTCAAGCCTGAGCAACAGAGTGAGACTCTGTCTCAAAAAAAAAAAGAAAAAAGAGGCTTAGATTTGAATATGGTGCACATTTATTATTTCTGAGCTTCAGAAACAAAAATCTAGTATAATTTTAATTGAAATTTGTTTTTGTTCTTCTGTGATATCTTAAATGCATTATTTTTCAAACTGGCATTAAACCTTAAGCTTTATTGGATCTTATTAAATAAAAATGCATTTTCATGTTTTATATCTTAATGTTTAGGAAATTATTATGGCTATTCAGGGATCCTTGAATCTCAAATGTGTATCTTTTTAAACAAATAAGGTTTTTGAAGTAACTATTTTTTATCACTATCGTAGAGTTAAGAATTGGCAATATATTCTTTAAAGCATGGGTTCTTTCAGTTATGTAGTGTGTTAGGAAGAGGGTAATGAAGTAACATGCCATATTTAATCAGGATAATCAGATTAGTTTCAAAAAAGTGATGTCAATTTTATTTTGCAGAATGCTGAACTATATAAAATTTTACTTGAATGGTATTGATTTACTGGTAGTCTTTACTGACTTATTAGTTGCTCAGACTAATGGTTTAGGTTGATTTTTGAGATTCCTTTTTCTTTGTATAGTAAAGCTAATTTTCCCATTTACTTATTATAGATGTAAAATTCATTTTTAATATTTATTGAGTTGTAGGCATTATTTAAGAGTATCTTAATATAGGAAATAGTCAAATCTGTTGCATTTAACCATACGGTTAACATGCTAGACAATACTGTTTACATTATTGATTTTATCTCTCTGATATTACTTATGAGATGTTGAAAATTAAATCAATTTCTCCCATACGTGCCAGCAATAACCATCATCTTCACTTTTTGAGAAAAGCATATCTTATATAAACCCAGACTTCTAGAATTACAGAGGGACCTTATAATTTGACTCTTTCAGTGTAAATGCATCACAAATATTTTTTTCTTTTTTGATGGGGTGGGGAGGTTCACTGGACTGATTTCTTCTTATGACTACCTGGCTTTATGTAAGATTATAGATTCTTATCCAAAACCCTTAGGGCCTGGTGTGTTCTGTCATTAAGATTAAAAAAATACATATTTTAGAAAGTAATGAAGTACATATGCTGATATGTTATATGATTAGTAGGGTCTGAGGACGCACTCTTAACTAAACACATTATTTCTGCAATGAAATATATGAATATTTATGTTAATTGGGACAAAGCCAGAGTGCCTTATCAGTATAGATCAGGTTTTGCTGCTAAACAAGTTATGAAAAAACTTATGGATTGCAAAGTTTTTGGATTTTGAATTTCAGCTTATCAATTCTGAACCTGTAACAGATTGTGTTATGTATTATAATATTTATAGATATGACTTTCTACAAATAATCAAAAATATAACAAAATTATGTATCTTTATTGTTTTTCCAATTTTTCTAGTATTTCACCTTTTATCTTCTAAAATATTTACTTTGTACAGCTGTTGTATTCTCGAGGATTACTAATTGATCTTCTAATCAAGTCTAATGTTAGTCGATATGCAGAGTTTAAAAATATTACCAGGATTCTTGCATTTCGAGAAGGACGAGTGGAACAGGTACTGTGCTGATCAAGAATTATAACTGGGCATCAGCTTAAGTTATTATGGTTTGTTTTGGAAAGATAAGCAAATAAGATTGTTATTTTCCTCATAAAGCAGTAAATTCCAATCCTGCATAGTGATTTACAAATGTAAATGCTTAATTAAAATTTCTAGTGCTAATTTTCTCATGACTTACTCTGCAGCTTGGTGTTGGTACCAAAAAGCACACAAAATACCAAAAAGCATACCAGAGTCACTATACCCAAGACTAGTAGTCACATAAATCCTTTTCTCCCATTAATCAAGATTTTGGAGAGGGAAAAGAAAGAAACGGTGAGTCTTACTGTCCACTTGATCAGATTCCACACAGAGAAGGAGGCCCAGAGCCTGGTTTGGAAAAATTCTTACCCTTATGACAGCTGATGAGATCCTGGGTTCTTCACTACAGCTTCCAGAAGAGCAGAGCTTTGCTATCCTGCTTACAGCACCAAAACTGTAGGGGCCAAGGGAAACACTCCCTCTTAAGCCTCTGAAGTTTCACTGAAAAATCAACTCACAAAAGGCAGATTAATTGGAGAAAAGGCATAATAATGTACTAACATATACATGGGGAGAACCACAGTGTTTGTTTTAGATAGCACTGCTAAATTTTTCTCTGTTAGGATGACATGCCATTGGTTTTTTAATGGCATGAGGAGTAACTTGGCAGAATTAAGTAAGAAAGCTCACAGTTAGCCCTGAAGTTAGCAGAGATGCCATTAATACTGATGGAAGGTGATGTGAAAAAGCCTGACTAGAATGGAAATGATAATCCTGTTATATGTAAAGGGGAAAAAAGTGTAATTTGGAATACTTATATCGTTAGGAAGCAGTTTCTTAACTTAAAATTGTAATATTTTTCAGGTTCCTTGTTCCAGAGCAGATGTCTTTAATAGCAAACAACTTACTATGGTAGAAAAGCGAATGCTAATGAAATTTCTTACATTTTGTATGGAATATGAGAAATATCCTGATGAATATAAAGGTATGTTTTTCATTAAGTTGTGTTCTCCAATTATTTGACATTTCTTACTATTTTAATATGCTTGCTCTGATTTAGTGAGCCACTTATTACTGTTTTAAAATGCGTTCTAACTCTGCACTATCAATAGGTTAGCCATTAGTAACATGTAGCTATTTAAATTTAAATTAATTAAAATGAATAAAATAAAAAATTCAGTTTCTCAGTCTCATTAGCTACATTTCAAGGGCTCCATAGCCCCATGTGGCTACAGTGCAGATATTTTGACTATTGCTGAAGTGGCATGCTAGATTTTAATTTTTATTCTTATTATTTAAATACTACTGTCAACTGGCTCTTTGTAGATAATAATCCTATTTCATGATTCCATTATTTTTTCTCATAAGTAAAAATACTATATATTTTGCCATTTTCCAGGATTGCTTTTGCCTAGAATCTTGAACTATTTTGTTTGGAAAAAAAAAAAGGCTATATGGTATATGGGGAAAAATACTGGATTCAGAAAAGGCATGGTTTCTATTCTTGGCTTTGACCTATTTCATTGTGTGATCTGGGGCCAGTTACTTCACAGTCTGTTCAAAATTGAATATGCCATTTTAATATCAGAGCTGTATACTTTAAGTCCATTGGTCTGAAAATGTTATCCAAAATTGGAATATACTATTGATAATTTATTTATAAAGTTACAATGAGAAGTGCAGCGATAGTTTTTTTCCTCTGCAAAATAATGAAAGTCTAATCCTTGCTCTTAAAGCTTCAAGTCTACTAGGATCTGTCATGTTATCCACAGTGGCTGTATAAAATTCAGTTCTCTCAGTAAATTTTTATACTTTTTATTTATGTAAATTATTTCCGTAAAGTTTTTGTCTTTTATCATGGCATGGTATTTCCCACCACTGACAGTCCAATTACATTATATTCTGTTCTTGGTTTAAAGGAGTAACTTTTAGGGATCCCATATGTTTTGATGTGATTATGTGGCCGTAAGACTGATTCTAATAGCTACACAGAAATTCATTTCATTATTTTTTAGTTTATTTTCTGATTATTAGTGAGAAGTATTTATCATCTTAAATAAATACATTCCCATGTTGTCATAGTTGTTTAATATTTTCAGTACCATTATTGGCATTATCCTGCAGGTTTCATGACAATAAAGTGAGATTATTGCCAAATATGGTAACACATTGAGTTATTTAATATTTTCCATTTTTTTAAATGCATGAAATGCTCAATCATATAAAGCTTAAAAATTGTGCCATTACTCCAAATTGGAGAGCGAGATTGTTTCCACTTTTTTCTAAGATCAACCATCAGTGTCCAAAATGTAATACCACCTACGTCCTTTTTGAGGTCTTTGAAACACACTTCATCTCCTTTTTGTGGAGTGCTTTTAAATAGAAGTTTGGTTCTGATTTTAAGTGATAAAATTTCATCTTTTCATAGGATATGAAGATATTACATTTTATGAATATTTAAAAACTCAAAAATTAACCCCCAACCTCCAATATATTGTCCTGCATTCAATTGCAATGACATCAGAGACAGCCAGCAGTACCATAGATGGTCTCAAAGCTACCAGAAACTTTCTTCACTGTCTTGGGCGATATGGCAACACTCCATTTTTGTTTCCTTTGTATGGCCAAGGAGAACTCCCCCAGTGTTTCTGCAGGTAAGTTTGCCATTGGTTTTCTTGTCCCTTCTAAAGGTGATACTTAAACAACAGGTGAGAATTAGGAAGGCAAAAATGAGATTTATTCAAGATTTAGTGTATGCAAATATATACTTTATTTTTTTTTTATAATTGATTTACCTGGCTATCTACCCACCTAAGTGATATATTCAGTGTGGCCTGTTTTTGAGCTTAATAAAAATACTATAAGTTCCTTTTTCCACTCAATAGCGTGATGGAAAGTGTTGTCATTGCATATAATTTTAGTTAATTTTTATTGCTACATAATATTTTATTGTGAATATACCACAGTCTACTTTTTCATTTTTCTGTTGATGTAACACAGGATGTTTCCAGTTTTTCTGCAGTTAACACCCTTGTGAATATTTCAAGTTATATATATTCAATAATTTCTCTTGGAAACTTATCTAGGAGTGGAATTTCCAAGTCATGAGATACATGAATGTCAACACTTTACAACATCGTGTTCAGTTATTTCTCTAGAGGGCTGTACCAATTATAACCTTTTAGCAGTACATAAGAATACCCAAAGCTTTTCATGTTTGCCAGTATTTAAAATTTTTTTGTCAATCTAACTCATATAAATTATCATTGCATTGGATTTTTATTTTTCATTTCCCTAATTAGCTGTGAAGTTGCGCCTCTTCTCATGTGTTTACTGGCCATTCATGTTTTATCTTCAGGAAATACTTGTTGTGTCTTTTTTTGTTTGTTTTACACATTTTTAAAAAATTTTTTATTTTTTGTGGGCACATAGGAGGCATATATGTTTGTGGGGTACTTTAATACAGGCATGCAAAGTGTAATCCATCATGGTAAATGGAGTATCCATCCCCTCAAGCGTTTATCCTTTGTGTTGAAAACAATCCAATTATACTCTTTATTTTAACACGTACGATTAAATCATTATTGACTGTTGTCACTCTGTTGTGATATCAAATACTAGATTTTATTCATTCTTTCTAACTACGTTTTGTACCTATTGACCATTCCCACTTAACCGCTGCCCCCTCAAAACCCTCCCCAGGCTCTGATAACCATCCTTCTACTCTCTGTCTCCGTATGTTTAATTGTTTTAATTTTTAGCTCCCACAAATAAGTGAGGCTATGCATTGTTTGTCTTTCTGTGGCTGGCTTATTTCACTTAATGTAATGACCTTCAGTTTCATCTACATTGTTGCAAATGTCAGGATCTCATTCTTTTTTTTTTTTTTTTTTTTTGGATTGAAGTCTGTTCTACTCACCCCAGCGATGACGTGCAGTGGTCGCGATTTCTCACGCAACATCTGCCACCCGAGTTCAAAGGTGATGTTCGCCTCAGCTCCTAGTAGCCTGTGGATTACGGTGCGCCACCATTGCTGGCTAATTTTGTATTGTTTGCAGTAAGATGGGGTTTCCAGCATCCTCGGCGCCAGCTCCTAGTCGTGAACTCCTCACTGCTGCTGGATCGCCCGCCCGTCTCGGCCAAAACGCGCGTGGTACTACAGCGCGTGAGCCCACAGGCGCCCAGCCCAGGATCATCATTTCTTTTTTTATGGGCTGAATATTACTCCATGGTGTCAACTGCACTACATTTTTATTATCCATTCTTATCTGTTGCCCTCGCGGGCACTTAGCTTGCTTCCCAAATCTTTGGGTCATCTGTGACAATGCCTGGCAATTAGAATGGTGGGTGCACGAATGATCCCGTGGATTGATAACAACTCGATTTCCATTTCTTCTTCCGGGTATACCCTACCCTAGCAGTGGGATTGCTTGGACATCGTATGGTAGCTCACGTCAGTTTTGCTTTCTGAGGAAGCTTGCCCAAACTGTTTCCACAGTGGTTGTAGTAATTTACCACTCCCACCCGGGTAGTTCAACGGTTCCTCTTTCCTCCATATCTTTGCCAGTAGTTCGCTAGTCGTGCCTTTCTTTTGATAAAAGTTATTTAACTCGGGCAATAAAATATCCTCATTCGTACGTTTTGATGTCTTGTTTCTGTATGAACAGTGATGTGAGCACCTTTTTATCATGACTCTCCTTGGCCATTTTCGTAACCTGCTCTTATTGAAAAACTGTTTCAGATCTTCTTGCCATTTTTTAGTCATACTAGTTTTTTTTACTCGTAGAATTGTTTGAGCCGGTACTTATCATACTCCTGGTCATTAATTCCTGTCGAGATGGGTTAGTTGCAAATATCTCTTTCATTATATGGGTTGTCTTTCACTTTGTTGATGGTTTCTTTGCTGTGCAGAAATTTTTAATTCAGTGTGTCCCATTTGATCAATTTTTTGCTGGTATGTTGGCTGTGGCTTGTGGGGCATGGTGTTCAAGAAATCTTGCCCAGCACCCAGTGTCGAGAGGGTTTGTCTCGAATGTTTTCTTGTAGTAATTTATACGTTCTGCAGCTTAGATTTAATCTTTAATCCATTTTGATCTTGCTTTTTATATACGGCAAAAGATTAAGTGGGTCTGGCTTCATTTTTCTTCTAATATCGGGATATCCCCAGTTATCCCAACACCTCATGGGAAAAGACTAGTCTTTTACTCAAGCTCGTAATACTTCTTGGACACCTTTTGTCAAAAATGCAGTTCACGTGTAGGTCGTTGTGCATCTTGTTTGCCTGAGGGTTGTCTATTCTGCTTTTGTTATAGTGTGTTTATGCCAGTATCCAGCTTTTTGTGACTTTGCTCTCTGTAGTATCAATTCTGAAAGTACGGTAAGTGATTCGTCTCCGATCTATGTTTTTGCCTCAGGATAGCTTTGGCTATTCTGGGTATTTTGTGGCTCCATATACATTTTAGGATGTTTTCATTTCTCTGAAGAACGCCATTGGTATTTTTATACAGATTTCATTAAATCTCTAGACTGCTTAGCATAGTATGGACATTTTAACAATATCGATTCTTCCAGTCCATGAACATGGAATAGTTTTCCATTTCTTTGTGTCCTCTTCGATATCTTTCATCAATGTTTTCTAGATTTCATTGTAGGGATTGTACACTTCTTTAATTAAGTTAATTCCTAGGTATTTAATTGCATTTGTGGTTATTCTAATTGAGATTACTTTTTAAAGTTTCTTTTTCGGATTTTTCAGTGTTGACATATAGAAATTCTACTAATTTTTGTATGTTGATTTTATACCCTGTACCTTTACTGAATTTTCAGTCTAATAGTTTTTTGATGGGGTCTTTAGGTTTCTCCAAATATAAAATTATATCATCTGCAAACAGGGATAATTTGACTTCTCCCAGCCTCTCCCAGTGGCCACCACAGCCACTGGCCCACTGGGAGTTCTGCCAGGCCACGCCTGATGTTCACTTAAACCCCAAGTGCTCTTCAGTAAGCTTGTGTTGAATGCTTCCAGGCTTGGGCCTTACCCTTCATGGCAGTGGGCTCCCCTCTGGTCGAGGGTAGGTCCAGAAAGGCTTTGTAAGAGCCTAGGCCTCGACTTGGGTCCCCAAGAGCCTGCTTGGTGCTCTGCACCCCTGTGGCTGAGTTGGTGTTTAACACACAACACAAAGTCCCCTTTACTTTTCTCTCTGCTTTGCTCCAGCAGAAGTCTTTTGCCATAGACACCACAGCTGGGAATGTACCAGGTCTCACCTGAAACCAGCATGTCTCAGAATCTCACAGCATACTACCTGGGTATTACTGTTGGTTATTTTGTAGCCAAGGGCTTTTAACTAGCAGGTGATGAGCCCTGCCAGGATTGGGTCCTTCCTTTCAAGGTGACAGGTTCTCTTATGGTCCATGGTATGTCTAGAAATGTTTTCTGGGAGTTATTAGAGTCTAGAATGGTGGCCTCATGACTCTACCTCGTGTCCTATCTTATTGTGGCCGAGCTGCTATCCAAGACGAAAGACAAAGTCCTTGTAATCTTTGCTCTCCTCTTCTCAAGCAGAAGGAATTAGTCACCTTCATTGCTGTGAACTGCATGGCCTCGGGTTTGGGGAGGGGTGGCACAAGCAGTCCCTTAGCTGCTCAGGCTGGTTTCTCCTTAGGCCATGTGCTGCCCTAGTCCATGGGCTCTAAGCCCAGCCCAGCATTAGCACTTACCTAAGAATTACAGTCTTTGTGTCCTAGCCTGCCTTTCAAGTGTACCTAGAACTCCAGAGCACCTTAGCCCAAAGTGGCAAGGCTTGCTGAGACGCTCGAGCTCCAGCTGCTGGGATGGGCCATTCCTCTCTTGCTAGGGCTGGTCCAAATGCTGTCTCAGTGCCAACTGAGCCCAGCATAACTTTGCTCTCCACTGACAGAGCAGCACCCGGTTCAATGCTACATCCCCCAGTTGCTATGCTCTCGCTCCCTCAAATGCATAGATTTCTCTCTCCACGGCCGCATGGCCACTGCCGTGGAATTGGGGAGGGGTGGTGTTGACAATTCAAGACTGTCTTCAGTGCCTCCTTCAGTGATAGGAAGTTGCAGCCTGGTACTGTGATTGCTTACCTGATTTTTGCTTCTTATGACGGTGCTTTTTTTGTGTGTAGTTAATTGTTAAAATTTGGAGTTCCTGTGGGAGGGATGATCACTAGAGGCTTCTTCTATTTGACCATCTTGCTCTTCTTGTTGACCTTCGCCCGTTTGTCTATTCGGTTGTTGTCTTTTTCTTACTGATTTGTAGGAGTTTTAAAATATATCCTGATTAGTGGTCTTTTTTCAGTTATATGTGTTGGATGTATTTTGTCTTACGGTTTTTATGATACATGAAGGTCATGAAGATTAATACAGTCAAATAGAGCAATGTTTTTTTTTTTTTTATGCTTAGCGTTTTTGGGGAGGTCATATAGTATACCTGAAGTATGGAGACAAAACTACCTAGATTTAAGTCCTGACTTTTCTGTTTATTAGCTGTGTAACTTTGGGTAAGTTTTACCACCTCTCTCTGTTTTTCAGGTATCAAATTTGGGATTTTTTTATTCAGTTGTAACTTTGTGTCCTAATTCATTATTTTCTGCTCTTTATTATCTCCTTTATTTTGCTTTCTTTGGATTTT